TCTTGATCACCTGAAAGGTTGCCGGGACGAACCACGTGTGTGTTGCGTGGTTACCTGGGGGGGGCTGGCCTGATTTACTACAGGTAACTAGGCACCTGGCTGTTAGCCTGATTGAGATATCTAATATCTAAAAGTAAACATCGACCTTGCTTATTAGCAAGCTGGTAAAGCAGTTCCCATCTGCCACAAATCCCATTTGCCAGGTGCAGTGCGCTTTCAATTATTCATGGGTGTGCTGCCATGGAGATTACAAAAATTGTGTGTGTGTGTGTGTGTGTGTGTGTCTGTGTCTGTGTCTGTGTGTGTTTTAAAAGCTCCTTCCTGACTTTTCATTAGGGTAGGCATTTCCCACCTCACCAAAAGAGGGGGCAGGCATCATCAGAACGAAAACAAAAGAAGACAGCTGTTTGCATAAAATTGCATATGCTGACTTCTATCTATAGATGTACAATTAGAAACTTTTTTTTCGAGAATTGTATTAGTATTCCAATATAGTTCATCTGAGTGGGGGGAAAGGCCCTGGTGGCCGGTGTGCCTGCTGCTGGATCTGCTTTCGAGTGCTCCTAACAATGAATGGGCGACCGCAAAGCTCCATCTTTAAACCTGCAAGCGCAAAACCTTCAAAAAGAGGATGGTCTTCTGTAAAAAAAGGGAGTCCAAGCCTGGACTCCTCTATTACTTTTTCTTGTCTCATTTCACTGCTGCCTTCCTGCTCTCAGACTGACTCAGTAACCCGACATTGGTACAGCAGCCGGTTAAAACCACTTTGATCCCCATCAGAGTAAAAGGAGAACATTAAAAGCCCAGCCTTGCATCTCATTAATTAACAGCTGCAGGCACTCTGAACATCTGTTCATTTTTTTTAACTTTCCCTTTGCTCCTCAAGAAAGGAGATCGCAAGATGGCCAGTTGTTTTGGCTCTCCCTGGGGTTTGTGGCCCTGCCTGATGGATCAGGTTGAGCTAAAATCCTATCATCCTCACTTTGAACCAACGCTAGCTTCCCAGTAATCTTCAAGGGGAATTCCACGTAAATTTCATTAGACAACAGTATGATCTAGTGGCATTTGGTGCATGAATTACTGATAGGAGTGGGGAAATTTTTCATTACAATGATGCTTTCTGTCAGAATTTTTCAAAATTAACAAATTTCTGCAAATTTGGAACATTTTGAGACAAAAAAAGGAGCAAGAGAAATTAAAACAGACAGGATTGTCCATCCTTTGCTTGAATCTCAAAATGTTAGGTTTTGGAATCATATGCATTCAACCATTTTAATGCTGATTTTTCCCCCCTAAGTCTTTGAAAAGTGCATGACAGTGGCCCCTCAATTCTGGCAATACCTGTATCTATTGAATTTGGTTGGATGATGGTGACATTTCAGTTCATTTTCGATGAATTTACCAAATTCACAAAATCACATATTTGGGATGAAAAGAATGTATGATTGTTAAAAACTCAAATGGACAAGAAAACAAAATTTTCTTTTCACCCTATCATTAATTACTAGGTCGTGTCTGGATTCCCCAGAAATAGCTCAGCTGGCGCAAAAGAAGCAGTTGGTTTAAAAAAAAAAAACACCAAACACCTTCTGTACTATCCAACCTTAGACTTGATCCCAGATTTCTTCCAAATAGTGAAGCATCGCTCCGAAATATACATAACCCCATCCAAAATTTGAAGACAGCTGTACAGTCCTGGTGAAAGGGTTAGTAAAAGGAAAGCAAGTGCTTCAGAAATGCCAGCAATTATTAAGGAAGTAAAAAGCTGTTAACCGCTCCATTCTGATACATAACAAAAGATTATGTATTATTAATTTTTGCAGCATCTTGACTTGTAAACAAATCATGATATATAATTTTTTCTTATTCACTGCTTTATGTCACAGCATCCTCTAGTGGTGGAATCTCAGACTGAAAGAAGTTCGTGAAACAAAGCATTCAATAATGAGACCTTCTTTCTCAACTGTTTTGCTATGATTCAGTTCCTGGAGGGTGATTTTTGAAATCTTGTTAGTACGTTTGCCAGATGGGGAAGGTTCCTGGGGCACTTCTCCCAAAAGCGAACTGGATGGTATGCACTGCCTATTCAACATTACTTGGTACAGTAGTGCCTCGCTAGACAATTACCCCGCATGACAGTTTTTTTTGCTAGACATTGGCTTTTTGCGATCGCTATAGCGATTTGCAAAACAGTGATTCCTATGAAGGAATTTCGTTGGATAATGTTTGGTCCCTGCTTTGCAAACCGATTTTTGCTAGACAACGATTTTGACAGCTCCCTCCAGGCTCGCAAACAGGTGTTTTCGGGACCTAAGCTTCGCAAGACAGCGATTTAAACAGCTGATCGGCGGTTCGCAAAGCGGCTTTCCTATGGCCGGTCTTCGCTAGACAACGACGATTCTTCCCCATTGGAACACATTAAACAGGTTTCAATGCATTCCAATGGGGAAATGCTTTTCGTAGACAATGATTTCGCTAAATAGCGATTTCAGTGGAAAGGATTATCATCGTCTAGAGAGGCACCACTGTGTTTTTGAACCTGTAAGTAACTGAGATCAGTTACTTCAAAACAGGGATGAAGCAATGAGGCAGGGAAAGTCCCTTAAGGAGTTTTCAGACTCCTTCTGCCAATATTTCGACTACTTTTTCTTTCCGGTTGATTCTCTGTGTTAAGGAGTTTATATTCAATCATTTATTTATTTGATTTTTATACTGCTCATCTGGCTGCCAAGGCCACTCTGGGTGGTTTACAAAAACAGTAACATAAAAAACAAAAATAATAACAACCAAACAAACTATAAGAGCTACTAAGACAAATTACACTAAGAAAATCATAATAAAACACAATAAAAGCGTGGCAGAGGGTTTGAATGTTAGTTATTAAAACACTATCATATCAGGATGTTTTAAAATTTGGGAAGGCCTGTCTAAATAGTCACATTTTAAATTATTTTTTAAAAGGTTCCCAATGAAGGAGCCAGGCGAATTTCTGGTGGGAGAGTGTTCCATAGTTACGGGATGACCGCCAAGAAGGCCTGATTTCTGGTCATAGTTTTTGGGTCTCTCTCAGGGTTAGATCTCTCAATCTTACAGGACGGGCAGATCAAATTGGATTCTTAGTATAAATAATACAATTTTTTATGCTTAGTATAAATAAAACCATTTTGCATTAATTCACCATGTTAGATGTTAAGAAACTTAAAAATATCAAGCTGTAATTTTTAATCACATAAGGAAAAGAATGTGTTGTTAGAAGATTTAAGGAAAATAATAATGGGTGATACGGGAAAGGCTATGAATAAGACAGTAAAAAGAGAAGCTTGAACATAAGAAAATGGGCAGAAGAAGTCAGCTATACCAGATTTTAACTATACTGAACACATGAGGAGTTAAGAAACTTATAAATATCAAGCTGTAATTTTTATTCACATAAGGAAAAGAATGTGTTGTTAGAAGATTTAAGGAAAATAATAATGGGTGATACGGGAAAGGCTATGAATAAGACAGTAAAAAGAGAAGCTTGAACATAAGAAAATGGGCAGAAGAAGTCAGCTATACCAGATTTTAACTATACTGAACACATGAGGAATGCAACGACACATGACTAGTAGGGTATATAAAGGCTAGCACACATCTGCAAACTCTTGAGACACATAGTTTGGATGTTAACCCTAATTCTGCAGAATAAATAAACAAGTCCTTTCATAGTGGGTGTTGTGTTTTTCTTTCACCTTGTGGATAATTGGAGTTGGTCTATCAAAGTATTCGGACTGTCATTTTTTGCAACTTCTGTTAAGAGGAGAGAACTGGGATGGGTCCAGCCAAAAGCCCATTTAGTCAGTCCTTCTCATCCTTTGATAGCCAGACAGATGCCTCTGGGAAGCCCATGAGGAGGACACGAGGGCAACGGAATCACATCTGCCCACAAGAAATATGTCGAGGCATATTTCTCTAATGGTGGAGATGGTAGGTGTTACATACAGCTATGACCTCACCTGTCCGTCACTGCTAAAGCTATGAGTCATCTACCAATGGTGGGACGGAGGGTGGGACATAAGGGGTGGAGCTGTGGCATAAATGGGAGTGAATGTGTGTGAGAGAGTTTAGATAGAGCCAGATAGGGCTTAGATAGGGAGAGATAGGGATTGATAGGGCTTAGATAGGGACAGATAAGGACTGATAGGACTTGGATAGAGTTTGGAGGTCTGTGTTATATTGTGAGAGTCTGTGTATGATAGTGCCTTTATTACAGTGATTGAATTATTTATTATAAGTGATTTACCATTCCTGCTAGTCTCCCTAGAGTCGAACACGACTGGACAAAAATTGTCAAGGGGAACCTTTACCTTTACCTCTCATCCTTTGATAGCCAGACAGATGCCTCTGGGAAGCCCATGAGGAGGGCAACGGAATCACATCTGCCCACAAGTAACATGTTGAGGCATATTTCTCTAGTGGTGGAGATGGTATATAATCAAGATGACTAAATAGCCACTAGAAGGCCCATTTCCCATGGTTTTGGGCCACCCCCCTTTTAATGAACCCCATTAGGGTTGAAGCACTATTCTTTAATGTTGTCCAAACAAACTAGCTCCCCTCCTCTATTGTTTTAATCAGCTCCTTAAAAAAAGAAGGAAGTATGTTTATAATTGCTTAATTAGCCAGTGAGATTAATCTGGTTCCATTACTGTTTATCTGAAATACTGGGATATGAACCTAGTTCTTAGGTTGTAGGTTTGAATGTTCTTCTCTAGAAAAAATATTTCCTCTTTGTTAAAAAGAGAAGATGAACGTGAGATTCAAACTCGTCTCCCTGGGGTGTGTTCTATGGGGAGAGAATATTTTGACTGGAGGAATATTCCATCACTGGGAACTCATCCTGCCCCCGTCTCTCCCATCAGCAAAGGGGTACAGTCCTAACCCTTGTTCATTATCCAACCCTGGTTCCAAGATGTGCCTGTCACTTACCCTGCTTTTCTTTTTTTTATGTTTCCTTGTAGGGATCTTGTTTACAATGCTGGTGTTTGGACCAGCCTGTGGATTTATTTTGGGTTCTTTCTGCACCAAAATCTACGTGGATGCGGTCTTCATCGACACAAGTAAGGAAACTCTCTCACTTTCTCCTTCGGGTGGGTAAGACGCCTCGGACCTTGGTATTGCAGGATACACAGGTGGAAATGTCTGCATTTTGAAAATCCTGAAATGGGAAGAAGCTAAGGGTTTTTTCCTTCCAGAGACCAGCTAACGGTCCAGAGCAGTGGTCCCCAACCTTGGGCCTCCAGATGTTCTTGGACTTCAACTCCCAGAAATTTTGGCCAGCACAGGTGGTGGTGAAGGCTTATGTGAGTTGTAGTCCAAGAACACCTGGAGGCCCAGGGTTGGTGACCGCTGGTCCAGAGAACTTGTAAACGTCTGAAGAGTACAGTGGTGCCTCGCACAACGAGCGCCCCGTAGAGCGATGAATTCGCTCTACGGTGACGCTTTTGCGATCGCTAATGCGATCGCAGAGCGATGCCCCCAATGGGCGAAAATCACAGAGCGAAGGTCGGTAAGCGGTTCGCTTACTGACCTTCGCTTTGCGACCTGCCGATCAGCTGTTCCGCGGCTTCAAAATGGCCTCCCCTCGCTTACCAAGGGCGCGAAAACGCTGCGCCCGGCCCTTTCGGCTGTTCCAGCGGCCATTTTGGACCCGTCGGACAGCTGATCGCAGCCATGTTCGTGCCCTTGTTCAGCGAGGGGAGGGCACGAAAATGGCTGCCGGCCATCGGAGAAACATCGCTGAACGGTGAGTACAGCAGCCGATTGGAACGCATTAAACACTGTTTAATGCGTTCCAATGGGCTTTTCTGCCCCGCTCAGTGATGTTTCACACCGCGAGGCACCACTGTACTCAGTTTGGGACTGTAGCTTCACGGTGGGAAGTCTCAGCTGCAGTCTCTGACTTCTGTAGCTAGAGATGGAAAATATTTGTGTCAGAAACCTGCAAGCATCACTCCCCAACAGTGAGTCACTTCTGATGGGCGAGTGGCTGCATTCAGTCCTGCTGAACTTCCTAGCCGCCATGTCTAACTCCTGCATTTCACCAGCAATGAAGGGAAATCTACATTCTCCAATGATTGTTATGAAACAAAGCATATGCCCCTTCTTAGTTGGTTCAGTTTTTTTTAAGGTTCATTTTGTGTCTCACTGTCATCATACATATCCCGTTAACATAGCTATTTTCAGGGTTTGCTCAGTGGGAGTTTGCTATGAAGGAGCAAACAACGAGTAAGGACCATGAATGGCCAAGATGTTGAAAGACCAGAAAGTCAGCATCATCTAAGACTAATTTAATTAATAATACGTAAATAATTACCATGAGCCATGAAGTCAATTCAGTGTTTGCATTTCTGGGAATGTTTTGTACAATTTCCACAAATTGCTGTTGCAGTAACAAATTAGCACAATGATCATGTGCTGTCAAATCAATTCTGACTTGCGGTGACTGTCCTTCAGGGTGTTCTAGGTAGAGAATACTCAAAAGTGGGTTTCCCATTCCCTTCTTTAGGGTGCATTCTGGGACTAACTTGCCCGTGGCTACAGAGGCTGCCTCTTTTCCTAGGAAGCACAGTGGGGAGAATTGACCGTCCAACCTCTGGCTCTGTAGTCAGATACCTAAAACACTGAGCTGTCCAGACAGCTACATAAATTTATGTGATTGTAACAATTGTGTCATTGCTTTCATTTACCCAAATTGTGGAACTTGTACAAACAGACTTATTAAACTATGCAACCACTGCCTTGTTGCGTAAGCTTTTACAGATTAGAAACACTGAGTGGGTTGTCTCTCTCTGTACTGTATTTTTCCATGTATAAGACTATACTTTGTCTAAAATCTTTAGATTAAAAATGGAGGGTCGTCTTATACACGGAAGTAAGCTGAGGAGAGAACCCAAACAAGTGGAGGGGAAAGCGGGGATCAAAGTGATCCTGCAGGGCTTTGATCCCTTTTCCCTTACACTTGCTAAGCCCCACTTAGATTTCTTAATTTTGGGTTAGAAAAGTGGGGGTGTGTGTGTTATACTTGTGGGTGTCTTATACATGGAAAAATGTGGTATATTTTTTATCCCTCAGGCTATCAGTCTGGGTTTGCTCTGTTTTTATGTTTTATCTCAAAAGAGGGAAGATATATTAGATGTTCACAGAGATATTTTCTGATTTAAAACATCAGCATTAGAGATGGGCATGAACCATGAGCTCACCAGTTCGCCAGTTTGTCTTGGTTCGTTTACCGCTGCAACGGGTGTTTGGCGCCCCACACCCTCCGATCGGTGTCCTCCCAGCATCCCAGCTTCCCTGTCCTGTGTCCTCCGGGTGCTGCGTCTGGATAGGGTGCCACCAGAGGGCTGGTTGCTGAACCACCGAACACCTGTTGCGAGGGTAAACGAACCAGGACGAAACACCAAATTGATGGTTCGTGCCCATCTCTAGTCAGCATTAATAAAACACTCTTTCTTGAACTAGTGCAAAAAGGTGTGGGGGTTAAGAAACTCTCAACAGGTTGTCTCAGCGTATGCGACAGCCTGTCTCATTGCGTATGAGTAATTAGTGTGATCTCCTCAAACCTGAATTGTAACTGTTTTCCTTCTTTACACCCAGATTCTTTGATAGGTGGAAAACAGAGAGAAACTTTGACAGTTTTTAAATTAACTATGCTGGAGATATTATTAGAGTGTGTATAAGGGATTTTTTTAAAGCCAGTAAAAACAAGATTGGGTTGCTAGTTAGTGTTGATGTACCTTCAGTAAATAAGGTTCCACTTTCTCTCCCAACAGTTTTTTTAATAGTAGAAAAAGAATTACGAGAAGACCGTGTGGTTCAGAATTACACAAATACAGGAGTAGGGTGATATCTTTATTGAACCACTTTTTAAAAAAATCACACAAATTGCAAGGTTTCGTGAGTAAAATCTCCCTTCCTCAGGCTGAACACATGGACAGAGCATAAAAAGTGCAGGTCAGAGTGTCAAAATTCGCACCAGATGAGTTTCCTTGCATGAGATGAGTTAAAGTTAGCTGGGAGGTATGGATTCAAGCATCATGCCTTGTAGTATGGTTGGAATTAATCCCAACTCCAAACAAATGAAGAGTCCGTAGTTATTAATTTTATTATAGATCAATGGAGAGCAGCATTTATTAGCTGCAGCTCTTAAGTGCTGTAGGTCCAAGTCTATTAATCTCTGAACCGCAAGGGATTTAACCTTCAGGTAATCATACCAACCCACATCTTCTACTGAAAGAATTAACTTAAATAGCTTCTTCTCCATCTCTTTCAACCATTGAGTAATATAGGTACAGTATCCTTAAGCAGTAGAGCACCATCTGCATCACTGCAGATGGTGACAACAGGCACGAAATTAAAAGCCGCCTGCTTCTTGGGAGGAAAGCGATGACAAAGTTAGACAACGTCTTAAAAAGTAGAGACATCACTTTGGCGACAAAGGTCTACATGGTCAAAGCTATGGTTTTTTCCAGTAGCAATGTATGGAAGTGAGAGCTGGAACATAACGAAGGCTAATCGCCGAAGAATTGATGCTTTTGAATTGTGGTGCTGGAGGAGACTCTTGAGAGTCCCCTGGACTGCAAGGAGCACAAACCTATCCATTCTAAAGGAAATCAACCCTGAGTGTTCACTGGAAGGACAGATCCTGAAGCTGAGGCTCCAATACTGTGGCCATCTCATGAGAAGACTCCATGGAAAAGACCCTGATGTTGGGAAAGTGTGAGGGCAAGAGGAGAAGGGGACGACCGAGGATGAGATGGTTGGACAGGGTCGTCGAAGTGACCAGCATGAATTTGACCCAATTCCGGGAGGCAGTGGAAGACAGGAGGGCCTGGTGTGCTCTGGTCCATGGGGTTACGAAGAGTTGGACTTAACGACTAAACAACAACAACTAAGCAGTAGAGAGAGATAACTACCAGGGGTTGCTAGAAAGTGTAGATGCAGTCACCATTTAAAAGCCTCAATCCATGTCTTGCATTCAACTAATTGAATGCCCAGTTCCAGAGAGAAAGCAGCAACACCCACGCAAGATGGAAGGCCGAAGAGTTTCTTTAAGAAGGCAGACTGACATTTTTTGACTTTGGCATTGAATCCCAGTATCCAAATAGGAATGGCATCAATAAGTTGGGCTAGAGCCTTGGCCTTGTAAATTTGAATAGCAAAAGGGATATATTGCCCCCCTTGGAGGTAGAAAAACCTTAGGATCTGCTGATGACTAGAATTAGCTGAATTAGTCATCTGCCTTTGATTTTTTTAGTGGTTCAAATAAAGGTACCCCACTACTCCTGCATTTATAATACAAGGCAGCTCGGATCTCTGGATGACCTGTAAGCCTGATTATGTAGTAGAAGAACATCAAAGCTTGGGAAATAGTTCCACTCAAAAGCTTGTATTTATTAGTTTTAAGCTAACTTGTCCAAAAAAAAATTGTCCTACCACTTCCCATTCTAAAACAATGAATACAGCCAGAAACTACTTGAGATTTTAAAAGTATCTTTTCAGTGGCTTGCTGTTATTTCCTTTGGCCACCAGAGGTAGATACAGTATAAGCAACGTTTATGGAAAAGCTGGAATTTGTGGAAAGCCCTTGTTTTTAACAAAGGCTCCACAGAGTCTCTCATGTCTCTGTCTGCCTAATATCAGCTTGTGGAATATTATTCACGTCTGAAAGTCTAGCTTTTACAAATGAGTCCCCCGATCAAACAACGGTTTTCTTCAGCTGAGAAACAGAGTTTTCTTACATCCTAAAAGTGATGCTTAGAATTGAAGGCAGCAGTGCCCATCCATTTTGAGACAAAAGCGAAATTCCAGTAGAGATGATGCCTTTAGTAAAAAGAACTCAGACTCTACTAGGGTGGGCTTCCTTACAGACCATTGCTCTGCTGACCTCAATATTCACTCTTCTTGACTGGTGAGGCTCTACATATTTTCAGGCGGAGTGGGTGGGTTGTCTGTTGCATCTGGAAATGCCAGAAACTCAACTCAATTCAACTACTATGAAGTCATCATGGCCTGTCCTTGGAGAACATGAGAAGCTATCTTAGGCCCTTTGACTATCTCGCTTGGTCTTGTCTCCAGGGGTCTGGTGTTAGCTCTCTAGGATTCAAGATTAGAGCCTTTGCCAGTAATGCACATTCTTCCCATCACCACCACCCCCAAAAAAGAAACACAAGACCGCTCAGCAGTGAACCACGAATTCCTTCACAATTCCATCTGGAGCTGCTGTGTGGGACTTATTGCCAAGGGGACCTGCCCTGATCCTTCTGTTGTTGGCAACGAAAGACCCTCCCCCCTCCAGCCAGGTTGTTCATAGTTACTGGCTGCTGAGGGAGGGGCTTTAAAAGCCATTCAAATACATTCATCTGTTAATATAATTCAGTTGTGCTTTAGTATTGTAATGGTTTGTTTTTACTTTTTGCTTTTGCTGTCCGTCTGTTTTTGCTTCCAGACAAGTCCACCTCTCCAGAAGTGTTTTCCTCCATTCTGCTATTACAAGCTACCCCTCTGGCACCAGTGTGATCCACTGAGTCCCGATGTTTGCCAAGTTATATTATTAAAAACTTGATTTTGGCCTAAAAAAAAGAGAGAGAGACATACACAGTTGTAATACATGATAATGGATGTTAGCAAATTTCTTACTAATTCTCAGCTAGGCAAGACTGCCTCTACAGAGTCTGGTTAACCTTGCAAAATTTCTCGGTCCCCTTCTGTGTGTAAGTGAGACAATAAACACTCCCCCCCGCCCCCCGATCAGAATCTCCACAATTTGCACCAGATGCCTTTGCAGAAAGCAAGAACTCTCTGTAAGTCATGATGTGCTCTTCTGGTGTCCTGAGAGTATCTGGGGTGCTTCTGAGCAGAGCTTGGAAAAATTCTGTTTTGGTCTATAACGGATAAACGTTCTGGGAATTGTAATTCAAGGAAGTAACTTTTCCACGTTCTGGTCAAGTCGCAAAAAACTGAGAAAGGCTAATATAAATCGAACATGAACTTGGTGGTGGTCATGCTGGCTTGGGAGTTCCAGAAATTGTACAGCAGGACCATTATCCACTGAAGATTGGTTCCAGGTCCCATTCTCCCCCCTCCCCTGTGGATGCTGGAAAACATGGAAACATTGGATGCTATATATTGCATAGTCTCTGGGTCCCCCTATTGGCCAGTGGTGGTAAAGACATCCTGGAAATACATATACCGTATATTTCCATGTATAAGACTATACTTTTGTCTAAAATCTTTAGACTAAAAATCGAGGGTCGTCTCATACACGGAAGTAAGCTGAGGAGAGAGAAAAAACAAGTGGAGGGGAAAGCAGAGATCAAAGCGATCCTGCAGGGCTTTCCCCTCCACTTGCTAAGCCTTAGCAAAAGGAAAGCAGGGATCAAAGTGCTGCAGGATCGCTTTGATCCCTGCTTTCCCCTCCACTTGCTAAGCCCCACTTAGATTTCTTAATTTTGGGTTAGAAAAGTGGGGGGCATCTTATACATGGGGCATTTTATACATGGAAGAAATACAGTAAATATTTCTGGGAGGGGAAGGAGGTTATTTAGTATTTCCAGCCGGTGGATAAATGAATCAGTGGATACTAGAGATTGGCTGTTCGTATATGAATATGAATATCCAAGACCCAGACAGCCAGGAAGCCTAGTCCTGCCTCCCTAAACCAGCTTGTCCACTCATTCGAATCTCAGACGTAGCCCAGCAGGCACTTCTCCACCTTCCTGTACTTCTAGCGGCTCCAGCCAGGTGGTGGGATGATGAGTCTCGCATCTCTCGTGGATACTGATGGTGTATATGTGCTCCTACTGTCATCCAAATGGCTTTCTCAACCTCTCCTCCTAAGCCCCATTGTCGTTAGGGTGACCTTCTCTGACATACCTGGAGGTGCTCCCCAGCTTCTCCGCTGTTCCTAAACGGTAATCAGTACAGCTGCCTGTATTTCTGTCCTTTCCAGGTAAGCTGGACATCACCCCCGATGACCCGAGGTGGATTGGCGCATGGTGGGCGGGCTTCTTGCTCTGCGGTGCCTTACTTTTCTTCTCGTCTCTCCCGATGTTCGGATTCCCACAGTCCCTGACCTGCCGGCCGGAGCAGGTGGCGGAGGCCGAACAAGCCATGCTGCCCGAGAGGGATTACGAGCGGCCGAAGCCAAGCAACGGCGTCCTCCCTCGGCACTCGGTGGAAGCTGAAGACAGCACTTCCTGCCTCCAGCAGCTGAGAGGTGACACACTTCCCTCGTAGCCCACGTGGCTTCTGCGGGAGCCGACAGGTTAATAATGACCGGTTAGATTCCTCATCTGACACAGGCTGGCTAGCTCGCCTTGCCCTTCCCCTCCAGACTGTTCCTCCTCCCAATCTGTATGATGATTTCCAGAGTGTGTTTTGTCTCGTTCGTTTTGTTTTGTTTGTTTCCATAGGAAGCTCAGATTTTGGGAAATCTTCAGACTACGGCTCCTAGAATCCAGTGGGAATTGTCTAGTCAGGGAGGAACCATTGGTCAGGAGTTTCGAGCCTCTAACTGCACAGATATTCCAATCAACATAGGAATTTAGGAAGCTGCCTTGTGCCCCATCGAGCCATTTGTCCTTCTAGTCCAGCATTGCCAACTCTGACAGGCAGCAACTTTCTAAGGTTGCAGGCAGGATCCTCTTCTAGCCCAATTTGGAGATACAGGGAATGGTTCTTGGGAATTTTATCTTCAAAAGCAGGGGGTCTACCATCAAGAAGTGTCTCCAGAACACTGCAGTCCAGATTTTGTCCAAATATATTCTCCCATCCAAGAATTAGTCAAGCCCAAGCCCACTCAGCTCCTAAAAATCATGTCCGTCCAGGGTGATGTGCTATTAGAATCTGTCTTACACTGAATCAACCCGATGGTGCCTCCAGTCCAGTATTGTTGACCTTGCCAGGGGTTTAGGCAGGAGACCTTTCTTAGACAAAGATGGAGATGCTTGGAATTGAACCTGTGGCTTTTTGCTTGCAGAACAGGTGCTGTGTCACAGAGTTACAGCTTTTCCCTTTGACCAAGCTGGCTGGGGGATTTGGGGAGATTTCCCCCAAAAAGTACCTTTTTCGCTCCATAAGACACACCTTTAAAAAAGTACCTTTTTCGCTCCAAAAGACACACCTTTCTATAAGATGCACCAATTTTTTAGAAGAAAACAGGAAAATATAATCTGTTTTCTTCGCTCCATAAGACGCACAGACTTTCTACCCCCCTGTTTTGTAGGGAAAAAGTGTGTCTTATAGTGCGAAAAATACGGTAACTTTTCAAAACTGTCATTCAACATGTGCAAGAATGTGTTTTTTTTGGGGAGGGGAGGCTAGCTCTTTTTTGACACACAGGACAAAAGAAAATGGACCACTGGTCTGTTCTAGAGGGACTGTTTTTGTGGACCTTGTCTTGATCCCATATGGCTTCACATTTTCCATATTTCTCCCCCTGGGTAGCACTTACAACTGTGTTGTGAGAAGCTTTCAGGTTGATGTTTGTCTGATTGCCCCGCTGCAGATTTTAAAAGCCGCTGTGACCATGGAAGCCACACTCTGTGGTGTCTGGGAGGTTCTGTGGTAGCCTGCCTATGTTAAGAATATAATATGGGCTGTAGGATTGAGTTGCAGGCTTGGTTTTCCCTGAAGGCAGAGTCAACAAGGTGAAAAATCAGAAAGACAGAGAAGCACCACAGTAAACCAGGGTTTAATGTGAACACACTAAACCAAGGTTGAGTAAACTCTCTGAGTTTGGTAGCCATTTGCCTGGCCCCAGAGCTTTTTTGGGGGGCACCAGCTCCTCCAGATGAAACTGGAGGAGGCCAGAAAGTTATTTCAAATTTAAACACGACGAAAACACTTCCACAGGAAAATGTCATTTTTGCTACAACATGGTTTGAATAGGCTTTGTGTCTTGTTTGAAAGGAGAACTAGACCCCTTCGTGGGCTCGGAGAAGAGCTGTGAAGGCCACAGACCACCCTTGGACCCAGTAGTTCCCACCCTTCCCATGAAGAGACTTCAATATCAGAATAGCTTCCAAGTTTGAGGGGCCCCTGAGCAAAAGTTGGGCTGGAGCGGGCCCCTTCCTCTATTGCACCCCTTAGATGTGAACAGCTAGAAGGCTTGGAACACTCTTAGACAGAGAAGGCTAGTTCCTTTCTTATTTCATTTTATTTACCATTTCTCCCTGTCGCTTTTCAAGACCATCGTCTTCTGTCAGCAGTTTACGATATGAAGTTATAACACAGAGACTAGAAGTAGAGACACCGGCAACATAAACCATTTGAAAAGAAACTGATTAAACTCAGACATCCAAGAAACCAATATCAAACTGCAGCAGTCCTATAAAACCTTTCCAGCTAAAAGCCAGAGAGAAAGAGAAAAGTATATTTTTGGTGCCATGTGAGAAGAAGTTTCAGTTCATGACATTTGGAAAAGAAGGCCGTGGGATAAGGGCCGCCACCAACGAAGGCCTCTTCTCCTGTGGAAGTGTTTTTGTCTTGTTTAGATTTGACATGACTTTCTGGCCTCTTCTGGTTTCATCTGGAGGAGCTGGTGGGGCCCCCCCAGTTTACAGGATCTTAAGATGGATCAATGATGAGCTTCTGATCATGATTTTAAAGCATGGCCAAGTTCATGCAGATACAGTGGTGCCCCACTTGACGATTACCTTGTTTGATGAAATCGCTTGACAATTAGTTTTTTGCGATCACTATTGTGATCGCTAAACGATGACTGGATGGGGAAGGCCTCTTCCGGTTTCATCTGGAGGAGCTGGTGCCCTCACCCCCCCCCAGTTTACAGGATCTTAAGACGGAGTCAATGACGAGAGCTTCTGATTTTAAAGCTTGGCCAAGTTCATGCAGATATAAACAGCCATTCACATAACCTCCACACAAGCATTTAGGGCATTAAAAGTAAGGGCAGTCAGTCATCAGTGGTGCCCCACTTGACGATTACCTTGTTTGATGAAATCGCTTGACAATTAGTTTTTTGCGATCACTATTGTGATCGCTAAACGATGACTGAATGGGGAAAATCCGCTTCATGATGATCAGTTCCCTGCTTCGGGAACCAATTTTTCGCTTTATGACAATCAAAACAGCCGATCGTCGGGTTTTCAAAATGGCCGCCTGCTGTGTAAAATGGCTCCCCGCTGTGCTTTAGGACGTATTCTTCACAAGACAGGCACCGGAAAATGGCCGCCCTATGGAGGATCTTCGCTGGACGCTGAGGTATTTCGCCCATTGGAACGCATTAACCGGGTTTAAATGCATTTCAATGGGCTTTTTTATTTCGCTTGACGATGATTTCGTTCTACAGTGATTTCGCTGGAACGGATTATCCTCATCAAGCGAGGCACACTGTATAAGCAGCCGTTCACATAACCTCCACACAAGCATTCAGGGCATTAAAAGTAAGGGCAGTCAGTCATCCTTCTGTGCTGGACCCAGCAATGTAACTGCCAAGCAGACTGGCTGATAAAGAATCTGTTCAGCTTGATCTAACCATTTGATCTCAATGAGGATTGGAGCAGCTGCGTTTTGTAAGAAGCAGTTTCCGTGTTGTCTTCAAGGGCAGCCCCACATTGAATGCATTGTAGTAGTCCAGTCTGAATGTTCATAGGGCATGTATAACCATGGCCGGATGCATTTTCCTAGATGTGTCTTCCAAGCCCTGTTAGAGTCATTGTCAGGGAGTTCTGACTCGATAGCACACAGCACATCAACCAAGGTTAGGAAAAATGCACGCTTGGCTATAGCTGCCACTTGTGATTCAATGCATTTGAATGTGGGTATCAGTTTGTCCCAGTGCTCCCTATATTTTCTCTTTGTGATGGGGTGGCAAATTAACACAGTGCTGCTCAAACCATCTGGCGAGGAACAAGATCCTCCCAAGACATTTTGCTGCCTAAGGCAGAGCAGCAGCAAATGTCACCTCCGCTTATCAAAGTGCACAGCAGCAAAGCCACCCGCAGTATTTGAGCATGGGAAGCAGAACATCCCACCAGCATCTCTCCCTATGCCAGGCAATAACGACCACAATAATAACCAAGAAAATAACTAACCACGTGGTACTGTTTTTGTGATATACAAAAATCTGCTACCAGAAGTGGTTGCCTCACTCTGCCTGTCTTGTCTGTTTTTGATACAGGCCAGTTTTGATCATAGCAGTCCTCATTGGCATCATCTTCATCACCTTGTGTGGGGGGGGCGGGACAGTCTGTGTTCACTCCCACCAAGATACTCCTAATATTTCCTGATTCGCTTCTTCTTTGAGTGTTACACCAGCCTTTCTCAACGGCAGCCATGCAACATCTGAAATGACCACAGAGAAGATAAAAATTTCTCCTGTGCAAAGCTGCATGACTAGATGGGGACATGGCATTGCATTTCTCTTTGGGGTGGAGCTTAGAGTGGAGAACGGATCCTCTGGCAGGATCTCTTCTTGATCGTCCCAGAATGCATACGAAGTAATGGGCTTGAGCTACAAGAAGTCAGATTTAGGTTGAATATCAGGAAAAACTTCTTAACTGATAGAGCAGTATGACAATGGAACCAGGAGGTGGTGAGTGCTCCAACCCTGGAGGCATTCAAGAGGACATTGGACCACCTTCTGTCCGAGCTGCTTTCATTCAAGCAAGGGGTTCGTCTCTTGTGGCCTTAGAGGCCCCTTCCAACTCCACGATTCTGTCTGCGGGCGTTGTCTGGGGAACTGACCAAAGGGATCCGAAACATAAGCTGTTGCTTAGTCCGATCACACCCTAACATGGTGTTCTCACAAAATGAGCCGCGCTGGAGAATTGGTTGTACAAAGCCTCCAAAACGAAGCCTTGGCTGTTAATGTGAGGGCAGTTGTTGCCCAGCTGGGCTGATGATATCTCTCCTGGGGGATCTTTATGTGCATGGATGAGGAGCACCCTGGAGACGAGTTTCAAATCTGCAAAGGGAGAAGAGAGATGATGCCTTTGATCAGCAAAGGCAGATGGTGAAATCAAAGGGAGCGGCGTCTCCTTGATGTTGAGCTTATCTTGGCAACAGAAGAGCCATCTTCTCCCATCCTTAAGGCTCCCTTCTTTTTGTGCGCTCCATTTCTCTCGCACACGCCCCCCCCTCCCTGCCTGTGGTTTCTGGCTAGAACTAGACAAGTAGACACCCCCTGGTGATGTCTGGTTAGATTGTACCATTTCAAACTGTAGGTGGAGGGGAGGAATGGAATGTTTGAATGCTTTGCTACATTAAAAGGTGTCCTTCTGCTTCTTAAATCAGGAACTTGGAGAGGGGAGAGGTAATGCTCTCGCACCCACCACCATAGCAACTCGTGAGTTAAATCTCTGAGGACTTGAAGGATGAGTTTGTAAGTGGCACAAGAGAGCAGGGCTGCTTTTCGAGACTCACACCTGCGAGGCAGAGTGGAAACGAAAAGAGGGAAAAACTTCCAAAACATAAACATGGTGGCTTTAGCCGCCCTTCCAAGAGTTAATTTCCAAGCATAAAGATTTTCACATTTAATTCACAAATGAATTATTAGCCAGGTATTAAGGGGGGGATGAGGTTCCCCAGGCTCATGGTTAAGATTCCATCTTGCTCATGCTGTGTTATCGCTGGAATAATTAAAATGTTTACTGAAGTAGAAAATGCTCTGTCTGATTCATGAGCTTAAGAGTGGTTTTTGTAAGGCATTTTCTCTTCCTCTGTGTCTCGCTCAGGGGCAAACACCCTTCTTGTGTTTGCCAGAGAACTGTGGTTAAAGGGAGAGGAGTCTGAGGGTTTATTTAAAAGGAGTATGAGGCTTCACACCCACAAGACAGAATGCAATTCTTGCGAGGTGCAACACAATCTAGCTTTTACGTATAACACCCTACCCAGTGGAGAAGCGCTGGGTGCCTCAGTTGAAGTGATTTGTAAAACTTATAGTAAATTGGATTCTTTAAGAAGTCACAAGATGGTTTGCTTGTTGGTAGAATTTTTCTGCGGTTTTCCA